TCAGCCTTGCTATGGTAACCACTTTACCATCTATACATATCTCATCACATCATGTTGGATACCTTAAGTATATATGATAAAATTAACTTTTAAAAGCCATCTAGACCAGCGGTTCTCAACCTGTGGGTCGCGGCCCCTTTGTAGCAATGAAAGTACATCCTGGCATTAGGAAGGTTGAGAACCACTGATCTAGACTAATATGCCAGTGAGCACAAAATCATAACAGAAGATGGTGGCCTTCCCTCCCAGCCTTGGACTTGGACACCCGCTGAGAGCTCCACAGCGTTCCCTTAAGCTCTAGCCCAGTGATTCTCAACCTTCCCAATGCCACGAACCTTTAACACAGTCCAAAGGGTTCGTGACCCACAGGTTGAGAACCACCGCCTAGCCCATTTCTGCAGCCCCTGAAATAATCGTTGTGCCTTGTGTAGTCCTTATGTGTGACTGTACTTAAGATACAAATGTCCACCTGAATTAAATACAACCGGAGGAAGCAGAAAAGGTGTCTAGTTCTCTTCACCAGAACTTTCTATGGCATCAGGTTGTTGTAGTTCAGTATAGTTTAGTGTTGAATATGCGCCATTGCTGTCCCTGGTTCTTTCCTCTTGAAGGGCAGTTTCAAGAATGTCCTTTGCCACAGCTCCCTGTTCATTCCACGCATTCCAGCCTCACTGGCAGCATTCTCTCTTCATTCTCTGGACACAGGAACTTTGCTTTTCTCCTGTGGGCCTTGGTCGGGATGCTGTGCGAAAAGATTTCAAGGATTCATCTTCTTCATGCAAGAAGTAATATCTTAATAGAGGGAATCGGAAGATTTTTCTGGTGTCAGGGTATGAAGAAGCTCAGGTTACTTGATTGAACCAGATTTTTTTAATACATCACTTCCTCCATGACCTTGGCCTTTGCTCTGCTGAACCTTTTCCATGTGTTTGGTTTCCCTCCATCCCACTTTTCTTCCTTCGTTCCCTCCTTCTCCTCCTTCCTTCTTGCTTCTATTCCTTCCTTCCTCCTCCTTTCGGTAACTGTTACCCTTGAAGTTTGAACTAATTTTTGTTGTTAATTCTGACCATCACAGTCAACCCTAAATATTAAATGTCCTGACCCAAAGTCATATTTTAAGTGATTCTTACGTTGTGATCTCACGTTTCTCTTTCCCTGCTCCAACCCCACCCCAACCCCCTCTTAAATTCTGTCTCTTACCCAGACCCTCAAATCTCAAGATTAAAAATGACAGTGGTAAAATACAGCAATATTACATTTTCCTGGAACCTTATACTAAGCATTTGACATAGGTTTCATACAATACATTTTGAATATAAAATTTGAATAGCATGTGTGGATCCACGCCCCTCGCGTGTGAGTTTCAGGTTTGATGTCCCACTGCTAGACACTGATTCCTGACAGTAGTGCTGACTCAATGTATCAGTTCATCAGGCCACAACTCATCACCTCCAACCTGCTTCCTCAGACTATCCTGCCTATACTTTGAAGTGTCAACACCACCAACCCAAACACCCAAGGTCCCTCATCATTCAGCCTTTAGTTAATACCAGATATCATTGCTTCTACTTTCCACTTAATTTTTGAATCTGTCTCCTTTTCTCCAACTACACAATGCTTGTCTTAGTTCTGGGCCTCACAGTTTCTCACAAACTCATTCTACCTTCTCTGACTACCACCTTTCTATTCTCCTTGCTTTGTGAGTTCCCGAGGCATATATGTGCCCCGCTGTGTCATCTGGCACACTAGAGGCCCCCAGGATGTCCTTGTCTTGCCCACCAAGAGATTGTAAGCTCTTTGTGGTGTGACTTGTTCTTGTTTCTGTCCAGATCTCCTAAAATAATGTCTGATACATCAGAGGTATGCAGCATTACTTGTCCAAAAATGAGTAAATTAATTAATTTGTGTATAGTTTTTTTTTTTAATCACATTATTCTTTGAG